TGGCCCTGAAGAGCCGATAGTACCCCTACTATCTAGCTCTACACTACTAGGTTCGTTGTCATCGTACCTAGTATAACTATCCTTCCAAGATTGGGTTTTAGAAGGTAGTTCAACCACTAAATCTTTAGTAGTTTGGGCTAGGCTATACCCTGTACCAACTATATTAATATAGCTAGTAAGGTAGAGCCTTGGCCGAAGGTGACCCTCAATTTGAAGGAAGAAGCCCGATCTCTGGAAGTCCAGAGCTGCAATGGTAGACCCTGTAGGGCCTTTCAACGTTTCCCGGTCCAAATAGCCTCCGGCCTTATAGTGCCGGATCCCACTAAATAGATTGATATCTATAGAGGGTATATAGAGGGCCTTATTAAGGACCAACTCTAAGTATTTCGGGGGACTCTTCTGGACCAGTACTTTGAACTTTGCAGTTCCAATACCTTTGGGTTTTACAGGGCCACCACCTGTATAAATAGGTGGTATTTGACCAGTATTTTTAGTAAAACTGGTAAACCATTTCCTATTGTTTATGATATGGTCTGTGGAACCAGTATCATAGAGTAGAGCATCAGAGGTAACCTGGTGGCTACAGTGATCTTTACAGGCTGGCTTCGAAGATTTCCCACTAGTTGGTTTAGTGGTAGATTTTGAGGCCTGGTGGGTAGCATTGAAGAAAGAAGGTAGTTCTTCAGTATCTGAATCGGATTCAGAACTACTATCTTCGCTACTATCACTATAGTGCCCTGTAGTGATATTGTATGCCCCTGTAATACAGGCAAAGGAATCGGGCTGGGTACTGTGGTTCGAACTGGAATTTGAACCCTGACCCTTCTTCTTCTTCTTCTTTTGGCCGTTTTGACCACTATTCCCACTACTGCCGTTGGTATTTTGTTGGCTTTGGGGACCCTTTTTCCCCTGTTTTTTAGGGCCTTTATAGGGGCCTTTAGCACCCTTATTTTCGCCGTAGGCCCTATTAGCCATACCTTTATTGGTAGTAGAGGCTGGAATTCTATGCTCTTCCAGAAGGTCGGCTATTAAGAAGCTCAAATTCAGGTTTTCAACACCTTGGCCAACTGTCCTCAGGGCCCGCATTTGACTACGTTGCCGTTCAGCCCACTGTGGGAAGGCTTTTTCCATAGCCTTTAAGTAGTGGTTCACTTGGTCTATAGGCTGTATTTCAACCCCGTTTAGGGTTAGCCGGCTAGCCAAGTTGGAAAATTCAGCGTTGAAATCCGCTAAAGATCCACTAAATTTACTGAAATCCAACTCGTGGAACTTCCTATATAGTTGGTCCCGTTGAATTCCAGTGGAGTGCGAATACCGTAGTATTAGAAGCCTATAGGCCGCTACAGGGTCTGTTTGCCAGGCTATGGCGGCCTGTGGTCCAGGGCCTATACTGTTCCGTAACAGCATTAGAAGTAGAGCCAACGTTTGGTCGCTACCCCCTATAAATCCCTCTGGGTTAGAAGGAAAGGTAGGTATGCCGATAGCCCTAAACATGATATTTAGGCCCTGTTTCCAGATATCGAAGTTATCTGGCCCTGTAAGGCGTAGATTTTCAGGGAAATCGTACACCTTTCTTGACAGTTCTTTTACCAACCCACTGTTCAAATTGTCTTGCGGTATAGTGGGTTGTAGGGCAGGGCTTGGAGGCACTGTATTTGGTAGTGGTACCGTATAAGGTGGTACTACTAGTGGCTCCGGAGGGCCCTGGCTAGTATTACGGGCCTGTTGGGCCTGTAAAGCGGCCTTTACTCTATTTTCTACTTCAGAAGCAATAGCTTCTGTAAGCTGCTGTTCGGTAGGCATCTGGGGCCGTTGTTGTTGTTGAACAGTAAACTGTTGTAAACTATCCGTCAACGTAGCTATAGTGGCATGCAGTTGTGCCATTTGGGTAGCCTGGGCCTCTAATCGGGTTTGCAACTCCTCTATTTGGGCTTGGGGGCTCCCAGCGCCCCCAGGCTGTGCCATGGTGCCTCTGTACAGGCCCGTAGGCTACAGCGGCTATACCAGTTGCCGTAGGCTGGTAAGCACTATCCTATTACTACCTTCGCTGTAGTTATAGGGCCTATGCCACTATATAGGTCTAGGACTTCAACGGTATAAAATACCGGGTTATATTCTATACTGTAACCACAGTAAGTTTTTACACGCTACTAGCCTTGATATAGCGTAACCACTATTCGCTCTTATAGTGGTAGTCTAGTTACCTAGACCAACAACCTTACAGTGGGTTGTTAGGGCCTTAAGTTCTACTCAGTGCGGCTCTTAGAGGTCCTTGTTTTACGTAGTTTAACTACAACTACTGGCTACAGCAGTAGTTAGTACCTTGAGGTACTACGTTTTACCTACCTACTAGAATCGGTAGAACCAATACAGTTGATCAGGCTGTTGGGAAGGCCTATAAATATAGTACCTTCAGTGGGTATAATAACCCCTAGCTTTCGAAGTTAAGCTAGATTTTTCTATCTCTTTGAGAAAACCAACGTTTCGGGCTTTGTTGGAAAAGTTAAAATATAGGCCCCCAGAAGCTCTATATTAACTGTCAGCTATCTAGTATAGTTGACGACCTTGCACTAGGAGGTCTATCTATAGGTCGAAGTTCCTATAGTGGTTTCTAGCTTGGAGAAACGAAGAATTCAGGGATTCCAAGCTACAAGCAGTAGAAACAGGCTAAGCTTATAGCGTTCAAAGGCTCTAATTTGCAGGGCAATTTATAAGCCTACAGCTGGAAATAGTACTTTTCCGGGCTCATAACCTATTTAGATTTAGGTGGGTGAGGCCCTGTAGTGCACACACTAACAGGGCTTACAATGCACTTTGGGGAAGCAATGCACAGTACTATTGCTTAGCTACCAGCAGTAATTACAGGGCCTAGGCCCTATAACAGTGGTTAATTTAGTGGGTAGACCACTATTGTTTTGGGAATGCCTCTATATTTGCTATCTTAACCACTGGAGTTGGATTTACTACTTCCTTCTCATATACCCACCGACCGGGGCACAGTGCCGAATTCGGCCCAGCGGTCTTAGTGGTAAAAAACTGAATCCCGCAAAACTCATTTGTATAGGTTTGACTAAAAATGGGCTCACCTGCTCGCAGCCGCACCCAGAAGTGCCCGGGCCCACTTGCACTACTACCTTAAAAACCGGTGCAGGGTAGGCCGGTTGGGGCCAAGCGGTGCAGGGTAGGCCGCTTGGGAGCCAACCACCGGTGCAGGGTAGGTCGCTTGGGATGCCAAGAGGTGCAGGGTAGGCCGGTTGGGAACAACCGGGTGCAGGGTAGCTCGCTTGGGAAACCCAGGTGCAGGGTAGGTGCAGGGTAGCTCGATTCGGGAGAAACTAACACTTAGTGAAAAGAAGAACCAACCTTCTTCAAACTAAGATAGCTAGCCACCCAGTAATCGTACCGCCACAACCAAGATACCAGTATATAGCTACAGGCCATACGAATTCAATTACAGTACTGTAGAGCCCCCCAGATGGCCACAGCACTAGTAATCTGAACTCTAGGGTTCAACACATCTAAATATACTAACCTTAAATAAGAACCAGACTCAAAGTAGTTATATCTATATTATAAATAATACCAGAACTCTAGGTTAGGCTTAAGTAATATTTAGATCTAGGGTATATACTAACTATAAATAACTGGATTAGTATCCTATCTAGCTACCTCGCAATAACTACCTAGATTACCAATACTATTAATACCTATACTCTTATCCAACTCTCAGATTAATATTATTAAACTATATTAATCGGTTAGTTACTATCCCTATATATATAGGGCATATCCTATACTAACCTCCGATAGACTAGCTAGCTCTCTGTTTATAGTACTATACCCAATATCTATAATAGTATTTGCTCCCTCGGCTATACTCTTCGAAACCAAGCTAATACTTCTAGGTTTTAACTTACCAAAACATTTTATAGTTAGCCGTTGAAAGTAAACAATCTCTATAATTTAGTAGGAGCACTACTTATTGATTTCTCAGTTACTATATAGTATATTATAGCGAAGCCGCTCCAGCTAGTACTACCCTACCGATATAGCTCTATCTAAGAACTAGAATAGTTTCTCGGGCCTACCGGCTTTTACAGTAAACCTACCTATAATATCCATTAGTTATATAATATCCTATACCGGCCAATTAGTATTACTAACTATTTATAGTCTTATTATTACTCTTACCTATCTATAGTAAATATTCCCTTTCTAATTAAATATTATAATATAATACTAATAATATATAGGTTACTTATTTATTTTATCAATTAGTTACTCTAAACCTTAAGTAAGATCTCTTACTCTATACTATAAACTAATTTACTAATATTAGACTATAGTAATATCGATACTACTCTCTCTATAAATATAACTTATATAAAACAACCTACTATCCTCTATATCGATAGTTATATTATATTAACTGTTCTTTTTACAGTTATTCTGAGATTATCGGCCAGATATATATAGTTCTAGGCTTTTAGGGTTTAAAGTCTATAGAGGTTTAGGTTTCGGTTAAGAATAGAATAGCAAGTAGAGAGTAGCAATCTAGTAAATTCCTTAAATAGTATTAATATCAGCAATATTTTATACTACCAATATTTCCTAATATTATAAAGTCTCTCCTCTATAGATATCTCGAAAGTATAAAGGATATAACTATAAAAAGCTTATCGTCTTGGAATTATCCCTACTACTCTATAATAGTTTTATACCTTAAAGATCCGATTCCTTAGTTAAAATCATCCCTAAAGTACTCTCTAGGAGAAAATAGTTATTATATATAGGACTATCATCTTATTATAAAATATACTATATTTATTGGATAGTTTTATTTTATAGTTTATCTTTCTAATTAAACTTCTTTCTATCGAAAACCAAGCTAAGCTTAAAATATTATTTAATAGAAAATAAGCTCTACCAACCAAAACGGAATCTAATCTAAAAATAACCCTTACAATTAACACTATCTTATAAAGGAAAGTATATACAAACTTAAAAAGCGTTATAAAATATAATAGACTTAGAGTTAAATATTTTAATTCAACAGACTTTTCAGATTACAATACCATCTTCATCCAAGATAATCGTACGCAACGATGATAGTTTTATCGTCGAATTCGCTTCATCTCCAGGACCCTAACAAGTCGATCTTCACGTAACATAATTTTGAAACTTCGGGGTAATCTCCAAGATCATTTTCACGCACAGTGGTGGCGCGCTATGGTTCCTGTTGACCTCTCCAACGCTCCGACGAGCTGCAATCTCCACGGCCCGACAGCCATCGCTTCTCCAGCACCAATGGAAACCTGCAACGTAGACCCGCTTGCCGCCTGCCCAATGGCCCCCGACATGCACGCTCTACCAGAGGAAGGCACCGCCGACAAGGCTCTTTCCGTGCTGAAGAACGACCATCTCGAACGAGTAATCCAATTGCGTGACAAGATCTGCGCCCGCGAGACCGACCCGGAGAGATACGAACTGTGTGTGCAAATGCGGGACGAGCTTCTCCGGGAGAGCTCCGAAGTCCAGCTTCTGGCCGCCGCCTACGATCATGTCATGTCTACTCATTGCGCCAAGTACAAGGATCGGAAATTGGCCAGGGAAAAGCGGTCGACCAAGCGGACAAAACTGGACGAGGATTCAGAGTGGAACAGGTTCCTCGACGTTGCAGAGAGCGGTCTGGAGTTCAAATCCCAATGTCTCTCTCCGCTAAAGACGGTAGCGGCCTGCTGGGGAGAGGATGTTGTCCAGCACTACCAGTGGGTTTACAAGGGACCCAAATACTGCAAAGTGCTCTGCACAGCAGCACGGAACGTTAACACCTGGAAGAGGGCCGTAGAGGCGTTGAATTGGTTGATGCTCAAACGATCTCAGCAGGGACCGAGTCTCAAGCGGCGCCCGATCCACGACTCGTCCAATCCCATCCAACAAGGCGATTTGGACAACTTGGCCAAGTATCCGCCGGACACCGAGCGGGCCATCGAAGCGCCCCAGGGGTTTGGCTTCGACAAATTCGGCCTCCTAGTCTATGAGAAATACGCTTCCGTCCTGCCACAGGCCGATAGACTTGTTAGTCCGAGCTCGGCAACCCCGCCAGAAGTTGGCAATTCTGATACCTCTGAGGAGCCATCGATATCAGACAGCACTACTAGCACAGGCCTAGAGACGGCCGCTGCCTCGGAGGGATCGGATCGGATGAGTTTAGACCCTATCGTGCGGGAGGTCATCAATACCGTCCTTGCCGAGGGCGCCAATGAGGCGATGACAAGCTGCGGCCAATCTAGCAGTGATTCTAGTGAGGATAGGGCTGCAATTCTACCTCCTCCTGCTCCCCCTGACTCCGCTAATGCCACGCCCGATTCCTCTATTACCTCGGAGGAATTAGATCGGACGGATTCCGACACCGACGGTGCTGGGGCCGAGGATGGTCTTGGCCCTGCGAATGCCGTCCCCGATCAGTCTATCAGAGTGGCACCTCGCCCACGTCCGTCCTACCAGGGCCTCGCCGGCACCAAAGCAGCCAAGCCCAGACAAGCTCGACTTCCCCGGGTCCAGGTTACAGAGATGCCGCCAGACTGCTGTTCGAAAGTGCCATCATCGCTCCGATTGGCCTTGACCAACCCGTCTCTGTTCGACCACGAGGCAGCAGCCCAACTCTTCCCTTTCCTCGGCCAGCTTTGCCGTGAGCACCTTCAGCGCTATGCCGAACTTCGGCACCACACCGAGCAGCCACTGGCTATGGCTTTGGCCAAAGGCGCCGGCTTGCTTGAGCATCTAAATACACCAAGCAAAGCCGCGTTGTACGCCGATGCCAGTACTTCCTTCCGCCGCCGCAGAGCCTCGCTGTCCGATATCACCACGCCGTCGAAGCGGCCACGGCTCGACGCGCCGCTGGCACTCTCTAAGTGGCCAGGCATTCGTGGAGACCGGCCGGCGCAGGACATTATAGCCGACGATGCCTACCGGCGACGAGTGATGGCCGAACTGCGCCAGGTCACGCCGGTCGCTGGCTCGCACGGCGAGGAAACCAATCGGCTTGTTTACGAATTGTTAGAGAGGGTTCAGCACCCAAACACCGACAGCTGCCGTGGCAGAGTCGAGGCCTGGTTTTGCACTGGCGACGAAGCAGCACATATGGTCGAGTCTCGGTCTCCCGTCGACGCTCCGATCTTCACCAAAGACCAGCAGCCGTTTAGATGGGGCGAGGGAGGACGCCCGGTTGAGCAATTCTTTCGGAGAACGTGCGTTGTCGACCAGTTTGTCTCTGTACAGATCCCGTCTCGCAGTTCTGACGAGGAGTCCTTTCAGGTACGCGAGCTCAGTAAAGTCCGGGAAGAATTCCTCTCCCAGAAGCGCACAAGCGACCCATTGAACGTCCTAGATCTATAAAGCCCTATTACCTCTATTCTACCGAGTTTCTTGACCGGAGAGAATTGCGAACTCCTTCTTCACGTTCGCAACAGGGTGTTGATGGCAGGGAGCGCTGAGAGAGTGGTGGCGTCCACGGAGCAGTGGAGCGAGTGGAAGGACGTCGATAAATGGGCCCTGCTTTCGCAAGGCGGCCATCATACGGCTCCACACATGGACAGTCACGGCTACTCTACGTGGATCACAGCGCAGGAAGGGACAATCGGGTTCATCTGGATGTCATCCCCAACAAAAGAAGAACGGGAAGCGTGGATGGCCAACCCCCACTGCTATACCGGTGGCAGATGGAGATACGTCCTCATTCGGCCAGGCGAGACTGTTTTCTTCGGGCCGGGCACGATCCACGGTGTCTTTCGAGAACAAAATTGCCAGACATTGGCTTTCGGTGGCCATGTTCTCCAGTGGTCTGGCATCCAGCGCTGGATCCAAGTTGTTCTTGCCGAGCTGAACAACCCGGCAACCACGAATGAGGAGATGAAGACGACCGCGCCGAAGCTCGTCGGCGTGGTAGCAACGCTTGTCGAAACCAAAGTGAAGGAGGGTCGGGTCGAGGAGCTTGGTGGCGAGGCTGCAGTCAAGGGCTTCTTCGAATCCGTCAGAGAAGTACGGAGAAAACAAAACTGGAAGAATTTCAATTAGTCGCAGAGAGTTGAAGGCCATAATTAAGCAGGAAGGGGGGAAGGGTGTGTTCATTGCCTTTGTATGGTTTCCTGAGTAACAGTTCCGTAGTCAATCTGATCTAGTAGAGGGGAAAGGCTCGGCGAGACACAGCCCATCGTGGATATTGCCTCTCTCCTTAGGGTCCCGTCTCAGATGAGTCCCTGTCTACTACCCGGAAGCCACCATCGAGTACTGTACCAGACTTGCAGCGTTGACGGCACTTTCTAGCGGCCCGTCGCCGGCCCCGTTTTCCGTAGCAGCAAGCCCCTTGTCTCCCGGCTTCGGTGCTCGGGGTGGAGCTGGGGTGAGGGCGCTGAGCATTTCCGGGCCGACACCAAGCTCGAGGATAGGCTCGCGTCCCAAGAGCGGTGGTGGGAAGCGCAGGGTTGCACACGTCCGAGCCGCCGGCGAAGAAACAGACAGGTGGTCCCCCGAGGAGGACGCGCTGATCATTGAGCTCCGGGGCAGCGGCATGAAAAGGACCACATCTCGAAGCGCCTCCCAAGTCAGAGCTAGGGTCACGCCAGTCAAGAGGTAATCCCGGTCTGCCGCCCAAGGTGGCTGATGACCTTATGGATCCCAATCGCATTCGGTTTAGATCCGTCAACTTTGATAGAGGCTGTCTGCACACAAGCCGCCCCGTCGGCGCCTCCCTGCGGCAGGCGCGCCCTATCCACTCGGCATACTCTCGCGGTCAGTTGCAAGTGCCTGTCGTGTCGGGGTCGTCGTGCGTTGAACCACCCTCGATATCCAGCCCTGGAGGCTTACCAAGCTGCTCCTTTGATGAGATGCAAATATCTATTCAAGACATTCTTATGAACGAAGCTCGAGGAAGGACAGCGCGCCGAACTTGGATCGTCGGAGGGAGGTACGTATCCGGGGTCTGTGGGACTGCTTCCGTGGTAGGACTAGTATCTCGTCGGTCCTGGAAGGGAGCAGGATGAATACCGAGGGTCTCCTAAGCCGCCAGGGAGAGTGTGTAGCGTGGCAGGGCGCGTGCAACTTAGGAAGAATCGCTGCTCTCTGCACTCTCGCTTCCCCCAATAGTCACACACTTTGCCGGATACGCAGCCCAGTCTCTTGCTCCGCCACACGGAGGCCGCTCGCAATCAGCGCAGACCGGCCGCCCTTGAAGCACGCGTAGTAGTCCCCGCCGTCGTCGACCTTACCAAAGATGAGAGCCATCCCGCACGCCCAAAATGGGAGGCCCTTGCCGCTCGCCCCGAGCCATTCACGTTGAAATCAGGCGGCTTCACACGATTTTACACGTTAAATGACGGAGGTTGGAAGGATAGCAGCGGCAGCGCGCTCAGAAGGCATGTTTTCGCTCGGGCTCGTCAACGGCGTACAGAGCACAGTCTACGACATATCCTGGAAAGAAGGTGCCAACGTGCTGCGAGCCCCGCCCGGTCATCATGGTGGCCTTCGATAACTCATATTCAAGAGAGCAGTTCCCGCTCGATCACAGTTCACAAGTCACCAGGACAATGTCGTCTGCGATATCTCTACGCGAGTTTGCTTCTGGCTTGGGCGTAGGCGCAGGCCGACGTCGCAGTGAAGGAGGAGGCTCCTGGGCTGGACTCCTTCCCCCTCCTAACGGACAGGACGCAATTTCCACGCTACATCGGGGATAAAACTCTGTCGCATGAGGAACGAGCATTCAAGTACTGTCGACCAGCGGTGATGTACGACCATTTCGATAGGAAGCACGCGCAACAGCCAGGCGGCGTGAAGCGGATGTTGTGCAACCACCCGAAGTGCAAGGAGGAGGCGCTGGAGTTCAAGCACTTGAACCATTTCAAGAACCATGTAGAGAGTGTCCACAGCGTTAAACTACGTGAATGAGGGAAGGGAGGAGGATTAAAGATTTGGTAGCAGGGGATAGAAGCATTGAATTTGACGGTCTTTGTAATCTGCACTGACCTTCACCGATGGTCCTATCAGCTCAGAATTTTGTTATGCTGACGCATGTACATAACGAGATCATATGCCAAAGCTCCAGATACCCTAAGCATATCTCGCATCTCCTCTTTGTCCAGCCATGCAGAATGCTTATGGAGGGTTTCCACGATGATGTCCCTTAAACCTCTATCGTCTCCAATAGTAGATGAATATACCTCCGATATTGCTTGTAGGAAACCATCCAATGTGACTGAGGTCGTCGCTGCCTTGAAGTGTCGTTGCGCAACTACCTTTAGTCCACGGATCAGGTACTTTTCTGCTAAGGCGTAGACCTTTGCATGGGTGACAAGGACGTTCGTGACCGGCTCGTTGGTATCGGTTTCGTCTCTGTTCGTTACTGACCCATCAAAACCAATACCCTTGTCCTGGGGCTTTGTGTCGTAGTCAAAGTGGTACAGATAATGTACCATTATATGGACAAGCTGGGGATCGTCGTCTGGGAGGTCAATCTTTCCTTCTTGTGTCTCCTGGAGTGGAAACGTTAGGTTAGAATTGTTGCAAGTGTATGAACTGCCACTGACCTTGAAGCCTGCACGGCATGCTACAGCGAGGAACTCGGACTGCATGCATACGATAGCCTTATGTACATGGTGCTCCTTCCCTCTGCAGGATATCACGAGGTCTGAGTACTCCCGGCTGGAGTAAAGCCTAGCCAGAGACTATTGTCAATACCTGCAAGTTCCCAGGATAGAGGAACGACAAGAGCAAAATGATTAGTTATACCCTTTTACCAAAGATTTAGAGGGCTCATCCTCATCCAAGTCGCGGGCTGACTGGGTTCCAGGCAGCGGCATCGCCGAACTCAATGTCGTTGTCCGCACAGGAGTGGCAGGGAACAAGTACGAATAGGCGTACGCATGCCGGTCCGAGTCCTGGCGGTGCTGCTGAAGCGCCTTTGCACTTTCAAAATAACGCTTGCATGGGCTACAGTAAGGCATCGATCCCGGTCGAGAGCATACCTCAAGCCTTTAAGTAGCCGTTTGCTATCGCAAGCTGTTCTCTGTTTGTCTCGTGTCGTTGCAGCTAGACCCCGCCCAACGGTAAACGGTCGAGCGACTGAGCGGGGTGTGGGCTTGGCTGGCATTTGACGAGGTAATTGGCAAAATCTGGAATCCACCTCCTGTGCGAGCCAATCAAAGGTTTGGATACTTTTGGTTAGTTCAGACGATTCGGGTGCGGTGGCCTGCGACTTGTTGGACGCCTACTTTCAACCCAGCCTCAAGCGCCGGCGCACCCTTTGTCGCCTTATGTCCTGGGCTTCGTGTTCCGGAGACAATCGTTCCTACAAGCGACCTAGCCGCGTAGCTTCGAGGAGGAGGGTCGCTATTTATGCGGCGGGCACGGCTGCCGTACAAGAGCGAGATCGTGGCGGCGTGAACCTAGTGCGGTGCCGTGAAATGCCGCACGTGCGCACAGGCTCCGGGTCGGAAGAGCAATTGATCCACACCTGATATCGGCCCCATATCTTCATTGCCACTCGAACGCCGGCACCTGAAAGTGTTCCTCCACATCTTCTTGTCCACCCACCCACTCGCACGGCCAGCAACGCATCAATCTCCTCCATCACAATGAACCACGACGTTTCTGAAATGATGCTTTCCTCGTTTTCGGGTATTGAAGCCGACGGATTCGGTAAAGATAAGGATGCGATATTGCCTCTCTTGCTTCCGAAAGTCATGGAAGGCCGCCCCATTGAGTCGACGAGTCTCCTTCTGTGCCGACTGCCACCCGAGATCTTGGGGGACATTATGGATCTAATAGCAGATGACAAAGCTGCCCTTTCTTCCCTCGCCTTGGTGAATAGCGACTGCAGGCAGTTAGCTCGCTCCTGCCAATTCGCCGTTGTCTACTTCGATTACAGCCCAAATTCAAGGCTCTTGTTGCGCCAGCTCATGAAGGAGGCGATCGCCAGGCTTGGCCACGATGATCCAAGCAACGCCACCCGGCCGCCGTTTATTGGATCTTGCATTCGCAGAGTTGTGGTCGAGCCCCGCTCAGACTGGGTCGCTCAGGCGCATAGCGATCTCTACAATTCCATTTGGGGGGACGCAGCCAACCGTCTCAATTCGGAGCATCGCAACGCATTGTCCAAAAAAGCGACTGATCAGTACATTGCGATTTACCACGATCCCGTCCAGATCGCTATGAAATTGGCAATGCCCCACCTAGAGGCGCTGTTGTGGCATGATGGACTGTGTCTCGATGGCGCCTTCTTTGGGACTGTTACAAACCTGCCTATTCGGCACCTTAAGCTGGCCGGAGCTCATATTGGAGAGATGTACCGCCTCGAGCCGCCACTCGCGCCGCTTGTCGTGTCATTGGAGTCGCTCTCTCTAAAAGTAGACCTCTGCACCAACGAACGGTTTCATAGGAGCGAGACAGACAGCGATGGCGATGCCGCTGGCTGGAAGAACAGAAGCTTGTCACCCTTCATACAAACCCTTCTACAGCGCTGTAGCACGACTCTCAGGCGTCTGACCTTGAGCTACGCGGCTTTTACGGGAGATAGGTTACTTTCATTCGATGAAGACGTGTTCTTCCCCCATCTTCGGTACCTCGATATCTCCGGAAACATGAGCATTCCTGATGCACGAGTCTGGTCTTCGCTGTTTTCTGCACCGCTGAGACATCTCTCTCTGTCATTTACGCGTTTGCCGGCCGGCCAACCCCTTCGTGACCTTGAGACGCTTGCCATATCATATCTCGATGGCGGGAACATGGGAACGGTACAGTCGATAATCGACTTCATTTCACGTCACCCGCACGTTCGGAAACTCTCCATCGGGAGAAGCACGCCCCATCTCCTGGACTCGCATCTTATCCCACTACTCTCTGATGGAAGATGGTCGAACCTAAGCTCCCTTTCGCTAGCATGGAGCGAACCAGCGGCGGAAACACAACCAAACATGGCTACTATCTCGGCGGATTCCCTAGCTGCTGTTGGCAACATCGAATCGCTGGAGCAGCTATGCCTAAGTGCCGGCGAGCAATTTGGCTGGCGTCACCAGTGGTTGATCGACCATAATGCGGTGCGATTGTGTCTACAAGGACTGACAAGGCTCAAAAGGCTTGCGTTCTCACGAGATACGTACGTGCTTCCAGACGGCGCGTCCGGCCCCGGTGCGGAGGGGTATTACGAGTATCAGCGCGTGACATCGGCGGATCGGAACAGCGCCCTCGAACGACCGGAATTAGACAGGGGTGAAGATGCTGAGCATATGGCAGGAGGCGAGGGTAATAATGACGGCCCGGAGGCCGATAGCGCAGAGGTTTGGGAACGTGCGCATCGCAACCGCATGCTCCGAGAAGCAGAAAAGTATGCCGCCGTGTTCCCCCAACTAGAATGGATTTACTGCGGCCAGTGGCCCATGGAGATTCGAGCAAAACAGACGTCGAAGGACATAGTTCGTGTCGCTATGCCTTTGAGCATGGAAAGAGACTCCTGCTGGACATTCCTCGAGCAAATGTTCGCAATGAGGAGGGATGATGAGTAATTGTATTTCGTTATTAGTGGGCCTGATGGTTGATGGATTGGCATTGAAAGTTGAAAGGAGCCGAAACCGTACTTGAAAGGATTTTAGCTATGTTACGGGATTCCTCCGTTCTTGTCACCTTGCTCTTATAGTTATTTGTCTCATGTTGTCACGAACATGCCAACAAGTGGACCCCCGGGAACGCGGGACGCCCGAGCCAGTCATTTAACGAATCAATTACAGGGTGCTCCAAGGAGCACCCGAGAGCCAAGAAGGGCGGCCAGTCAGAAGCTACTCTCGTTAGCTCTCGGGAGCCTCCAAGAGCCATGAGCTCTAGTAAGCTCTCAGGAGCTGCTTGGAGCTCAGAGAAGTAGATAGTATATAGTCACTCGTCCTGGAGAGCTCTGGAAGTTCTCCAGTTAGCAATCACAACTACAGTTCGCTACAAGCTCGAAAGCCTACCGTCGAGATGTGACGAACCTGTCTCTGGACCCGTCCTGTTAGGGTTCAGTATCGGTCGAAGGTAATCTTTCAAGGGTGCTTAGGTTCGGTGCAGCCAAAGGGTGCACAACAAAGACTTGTCTCAACAGTAGGCTTTCGAGCTGGTAGCGAACTGTAGTTGTGATTGCTAACTGGAGAACTCCCAGAGCTCTCCAGAACGAGTGACTATATACCTATCTAATTCTTGGGTGCTCAGTGTGCTCAGTCCGGGTTCGACAACTGAGCTCACTGATCACTTCTGAGTTACAATCGTCCTGATTGGTGACCTTGCCTGGTGCTCAGTGTGCTCAGTCCTGGCTTGGCAACTGAGCTCACTGATCACCATCGATCCTGTTCCTGCCTTCCGATTGGCTTATTCCATGACTGGCCCGGGGCGTCCCGCGCCCCGCGGTTCCGCCTGTTGGCATATTCGTGACACGAGACAAGTCTTGTTGTGCACCTTTTGGCTGCACCGAACCCTACTGCTGCAATGTTGCAACCAACGGAGCTGCGCGTGGGAAACCGAGACCCAGTGTTCCCTTTCCTCAGCGGTCGTTCGCGCAGTGATTGAGGTTGATTCCACAAGATGTATCGCGCCTTCTACATTGCGATGTTAGTCTAAGAAACGGATAAATAGGGGCAGTTAGCGGTACCGAATAGAGCCGCAGCTCGTCGAAGAGTGTCAAGACCCTTGCAGTATTTGGCGAGCGCCGTGACAAAGTCTCCTTTGTGCCTCTCAGAAGCTATTTCGGCGAGACGCTTGACCTCCCCAGGAGCCAAGCGTTGCAAGTCGACCAGCGTCGTATAAAGTGGCAGAGTGATTAGCTCATCAAATGGAATCTCCCTAGATTTGTACCGATTGGTAGCTAAGTAACGACAAGTCCGTTCGGGATGACGTCGCCCATCCTTTATGAACATTTCAAGGCCCGTTTTAGATGATGGCTCATTTTGCATGGTGGTCAATCTTGGATGATGATCGATTGTAGATAGTGGTCGATTCGAGATGGTGGCCGGTTTGGACGGGCGGATGGTTTTGGACGGATGTCAATTTTGGACGATGGTCCTTCCCCTCTCTTCTTTCCCCGCATGGCTGCATACGTGGCAGCCTAGCTACGGAAGACGATAGCCGCCACTGTTCCATAACCCATAATTCCCATAATTGCCAAGATTAGACTTACACCACAAATTCCCGGTACACCCCACAACACAGCTTTACATTGAATGTTTTAGTACATATTGGTCACATGATATATATATATACCATACCTAATACCGTCTTTATCAATACTAAGCTTTACCTTTTAGCTAGTTAGATAGTTAATTCGCATTATAATTTATTAGTCTCTATGACGAGAAGCAGATATTCCATGGGGTCAGGCCACCAGTCAATACAACTATAATATCGAAACTAAGACAAAGAGAAAAAGAGAAAAAGAGAGGTGGTGGGATCGCTCGCGATCGTTTCGTAGGGAAGTCGGGCGAGGCGCCATGCGCGCTAACCCCGATTGAGCCACAGTGCCATCACAGGCAACCACCTCTCGTGACAACCCCCCCCTCCACGAAAAAGCTCGTCCGCGAGCTTTTGCTCGGAAAAGGTCCATCATTTCCATTTCCATTACTTTTTCTTCCTATTGGATCGCCTCAACGGCGCGCCCACCATGACTGGTTCGTTGTCATCCTTGTAATCCGCCGCGAACTCGTCGCGTTCGGCCATTTCCAACCATATTTGCAATCGTGTGGGCGGGCCAGACTTGTCGGGGTTCGCGTCATGGAACTGTTTCAACACTTCCGGCGAGTTCTTGAAGTCGGCCGCGGGATCAACCCCTGGAAGACTTCAGTGGGGAGTCATTTCGCATGGCGCGGACCCGATATCGCATCGGAAACAACATGGGCTTTGATGAGCTTGTTACCTATGATGCGGTTCGCGGTGACCAGACGGCCGTTACGTAGCGAGCAACCAGAAGTGTAAGTAGGTCTGCAAAAGCAGGGGTGCTTGAAGGACCAACCATCAACCGAACATAAGAAGAGACCGCCGGCTTGCTGGCGGCCACCTTCGAAAATGTTTCTGCGTTTAAACTCTCCTGTTTCAAACTCCGATAGCCGAGCTCCGCTACCGATTAAAGCAACGCCCGTTCAGGACTTGCGAAAGCATTTATAAATAAGGATACCTTACTTTAATCCAGTAAAAGATGCGGTAGAGAAAAACAAACCTAATACCTCCGGCTGTAATCGGGTGGGCAATTTAGACCCTCTATCGGTAGTTTCATAACCGTCATCACCGCATTCGGGTAACTTAACGATAAAACTCTCAACACCCCTCCTCTCCGAAATCTTAGAGCTACTACCAGGGTTTCAGCCCCTAACCAGAGAGCAATTCGGGCGGTACTTTACTGCTATTCCGCCGCGGAACTTACCCCGTAGCTATCGCGATAGGGCAATTAACAGCCTTTTCCATTTATATCGAAACGGACCCTACAATTTCCCGACAGAGTATTGCAGTAACTTGGCCACTGTGGTTAGATTAAGTCGACGATGGATGGAAGAAAACGCCCGCTAGGATGGGCGGGACCTTGTAGGACGAAATGCGTTTCTGCTTTCAGCAAATAATAGAGTGCAACCGTCGTTTATCGCAGCAAGGCCAACCTCGGTGCCGATCGTCCCGATATACTGTCGATACCCCCCGAACCAGTCCCTGACCCAATGGACCGAAAAAATGCTGGAACATGTACGCGAAGTCTCCGACCGAAATCTTCGCAACGCCAACCTCAGTATCGAAATGCCGGGGGGATGCAGAAACCATAAAGCCATAAGACGAGACGCTTCGCAGCTGGTGGTTGGCATGAAGCCCTCAGGGGCGACCGTCATAAGCTGCCGTCTTTCCCATCAAAAACAAGCACTTTCTCTCGCAGACCAAGCACAAGACGGCGAATCAACAACAGCCGCCAAGTGGCAAGTGCCGGCAGTCGACGGGCTCCCGAGATATCCGGACGGCGCCGATTCGGTCATTTTGTGGATGGGCTGAGTGGAGCGAGGGCACTCCCTGTCCCCGGCGCCGCCTATCAAGCGCCGAGCCATGACTCGACCAGGCCCGCAACGCCAGGGACCGCCCCTCCCTTTGTCGTCGAGTCTCGCCGAGTGAGCTTGGAATCGTTTCATATCCTCAGCGGCGAGCGCCTCGTCAAATTCTCTCTTGATGGCGATGTCTTCTGATGATAATGGCGCCTCTTGATCGTCACCCGAGAACCGTGGGCCGGGCTCGTCGAAGTCGCGGCGAGGGGGCGCAGATACTGCGGCGCGACGGCCTCTAGTGGACGGCCGGCCCACTGGCATCCGACCAAGTCGAGGACGGCCACGCGGCCGACCACGGGATTGCGACGACGACGACCGAGGGCGGCGCGAGGGCACCGGCCCAGGTCGGGGGAGCTGTGGTTGGGAAGCCTGCGAATTGTCATCGTCGTCTTCCGCGGGGCTCTGCCTAGGCTGTGCAGACGGGGGGAGGCCATCCCCAACATCCGCCGGCTGTTCTTGACGGAACAAACCACTCATGGTGGGGGTCTGCGACGGCTGTTCACCGTGACGGCGCTGGACACGATGCTGTCGCTGGATGGCCGCAATCTGCCCACGAGCAGCCGCCATCTCCGGCGCATCTGTCTCGACACGTCCGCCTTGGTGGTACATACCGGCAAGCACCCGATGAGTAAGGTTCTGACGGGGCGCGAGATGAACCGGATTTGGCAATGTCGGGGGAGCGACCGGGCCACGGGGGATCGCGCTGGCGGCCGAGATACGCGTCGCTGATGCAATATCCTGTAAAGCTGAAGTCAGCAGAGGTAGAAGTGGCTAAATATGATGTTGATTAATACTGATTCCCTCTGGTGTCCTCTGCAATCCAGACACTTCGTAACAATCCTGCTACCGCGCACAGCGAAGAACTGATCGAGAGGTTTCTCGACGCGACATTCACGGCACACCCGCTGCGCTGGCATAGCGCCCTCCATCACAGCAGCATATACCGTCCATAACGAGCGTATGTTGCGACCAGGAGGAAGGCAAAATAAGTGTTAATGAGGAAGAGTCGCGAAATATATGTTTTGATGAGTGCAGGATTTGTGGTCAACGCAAACAAACAATTGTTTGTCGTCGGCACCGACAGCTTGAGCTCGGGTCCAGCTTGCGCTCGGCTATCGCCGCATGCAACCGGCCTCGGCTAGATGTGGGGAGCTTTGCGGGCCCAACGCCGAATCCGGCATATAGTGGGCCTTATAAAGCCGCCAGCCAATTCCCGGACTCGGATAAGAGGGCTCCGCTAATTCTTATCAACTTTGCATAATAATTTCCAAAAGTTTAACCGTAATATTGTCCTCCGGACAGGAATATTATCCTCCGGACAGGATAATAATAAAAATGAGTTCAAGCTACAGTAGCTTCGCGATCGTTGTATACGGAGGATTGCGCGCCGACCAAAGGCAACCGACCGTAGCGCAAATGGAGAGTCAGAAAGTTGGAAGAAAAGAAGGATAGAGGGTGCGGATTGGGCGAACGCAAGAATAAAGTGGAGCCGGTTAACTTTTCTTCCGAAAACCACCACTTTTCGAAGCAAGGCCCCCCACCGAGCGAAGTCCCCTCAATGAAAACATGAGACTCGCAATGACCATGGCGCTTAATTGGTCGGTACGAGTGGATCCCATTCCTACACACTCTCGCAGCCATCTATTCCTCACACATCACTCCATCACATAACCAGGACCTCGCTCTCCCTCCATTCTCATCGCCATAGCCCACACTCGAGCCTAAACAGCGGCCCTAAAGGGCGCTCCCATCACCGGCGTTAAATTATTAAGGTATTTATTCTTCGCAGCGCTAAAGAACGTCTTCTGCTAATGCTTGCAGGAAATCGACCCCAAGGCATCCAGCCGCGCAAAGGCAGTTCTCGAAAGTACGTAACCAGGCACACCGAATATAATCGCCTGTATCCAATTACACCGTCTCCACAAGTACGCCTTCCATCTCTCGTATTATATAGTTGAAGTTAACTTCGGATCTACAGGATCCGCCGGTACCTGTCCAGAGCAGAGGTCGCAAGCGTAAGTACTTAACCGGATATATAGCCGAAGTAGACCTAGACCCAGACCCAAACCCAGCTCTAAAGCGATAGTGGACATCTCCTCTACAACCTATAGAAGATATATTTAACAAGCCAGCGATTAGCAGTAGTACCTATCAATACATTAACCTAGTTACTTTCTAGGTAAAGGAAGGGTACTGGCTAGAGGAGTAGGCCTGGCCGGAGGAGACCTCAACAACAGATTTGTCACGGATTAGGCCCAACGCGGTCTTGGCCTGCGGGATGCGGGACGTCCCGGCCAATCATTTAAGGGTCCAACGGCCAATCGTTGCGACAAGTGAAAGCGCTCCCGACGCTCCCTCTCGAGGAAGGGAGCACGGGGAGCACTCGCCGCACTCACTGCTCACGACGCTCCCATCGCTCCTCGGGAGCATAGGGAGCAGAGGGATCAACACGTTAGATAGCAGTATATAGTCACTCGTTCTGGAGAGCTCTGGGAGTTCTCCAGTTAGCAATCACAACTACAGTTCGCTACAAGCTCGAGAGCCTACTGTTGAGACAAGTCTTTGTTGTGCACCCTTTGGCTGCACCGAACCTAAGCACCCTTGAGAGAATACCTTCGACCGATACTGAACCCTAACAGGACGGGTCCAGAGACAGGTTCGTCACAAGATTTTAGTATAGACCGTCTCCTTACGTAGAAGAGATCCTCGTCCAATCTATTCCAGAAGCGATCGAACTCTGCTATATCAACAACGCCTAGCGAGAGGAGGGAGGAGAAGAGCACACTTGTGACGAACCTGTCTCTGGACCCGTCCTGTTAGGGTTCAGTATCGGTCGAAGGTATTCTCTCAAGGGTGCTTAGGTTCGGTGCAGCCAAAGGGTGCACAACAAAGACTTGTCTCAACAGTAGGCTCTCGAGCTTGTAGCGAACTGTAGTTGTGATTGCTAACTGGAGAACTCCCAGAGCTCTCCAGAACGAGTGACTATATACTATCTAGTATCACCGTCCTCATGGTGATAATCCTCCGTTGTCACTGACAACTGGTGATAATCTTTCATTATCACTGACAGTCGGTGATAACCGTTCCTATTGGTTCTTTTAGCGATTGGCTGTCGGCGTCCTGCGCCTTCGGCTGTGGCCGCCCCGGGCCGCCCCTCAGGTCGTTCCGTGACACGATGCCCCCCCTCTCATGTCTTTCGACCCGAAAGACGTTGGTTCTCCATTCCTAACGTTGGTTAATGATCCCTAACTACGGCGCTTCCCCCACTTATTGGTAACTTCTCCTTTCCATCCTCTTCCCTCAGTTCTTGATGCTGACAACATGTCCGTGGAGAAACGTCAATCCAAATCTGCGCGTTATCGTGCTTCCCTGGCCGAAAACATCGGAAAGAACGGTTTTGTCGTCATGCCTTGTTCTTGGTGCGCTTCCCAGAGCTTGACGTGCCGCATGCTTCCGAAAGTAAAACGCTGTAGTGCGTGCGTTCAACGCGGTCGATCGTGCGATGGCTCTGGTGTCCCCATCTCCCAACGTGAGTCTCCCCCTACCCGTCACGTCCCTGGCTCACTCCAACGTCCCCAGTGGATCGTATTATGCAGGAGCAGCGGCGGATCGAGCGCGAGGAGCGGGACACCGAGGAGTCCCTCGAGGCGACTCAGCGGAAATTGGAGGAAGACCAGCGAGCTCTTGCGGAACACCTGGCCCGTTTGCGTCGCCTGCGTCAACAGAAGAAATTCCTGGTGGACCGTGGTGTTGATATGGTGGCTCGTGGTTTGTCAACTCTGGATGACCTTGAAGCGGCCGAGAGACAAGAGTCTCTTGATGCGGCGGGGGCGCCTTTGGTTGAGGGCGATCTTAATTCCTCCGCCGACCCCTCCGCGGGGTTCGACTGGTCCCTGGGGAATCCCCTTGCTGGAATCGATTTCTCCGCGGAATTTCCCTTGGTCGATCCGGGTTCCTCTGGTGGAACTCCTGAAGTTTCTCGGGGCAGTTGAGATTTGTAGCTGGTTGCCATGAATTGTCTTCTGGACCAAAGTCCAGCCACTTGACCAAATACTCCAACTGTCCTTTCGTGATGCGTGAGTCTAGGACTTCCTCAACGTCCCATTCCTCCTCTTCATCTTCTGCCTCGGCGTCTTTGTCGAGTCGTGCGCCCTTGGGCGCTGGTTCCAGAAGTGAGATGTGGAAAACGTTGGTCCGTAGTCGCATTGTCGAGGGTAACGCGAGAGCGTAATTGTTCTCCGAAATCTTTTTGTCGATCTTGAACGGTCCGACTTTGCGAAAGTCGAGCTTCCTGCTTGGTCGCTTCGTGCGAAGATTTCGAGAAATGAGGTAGACTTTGCCCCCCTCCTCTAGGCGAGGTCCCTCGAGCCTGTTTCTGTCGTAGAACTTCTTCATCCGTGTTCGTACGAATTCGAGTTCTTCCTTGAGCATCGCGTGCAGCGAGCTCATTTTGTCGGCTTTGACTGCCGCTCTGGGCACCGAAACCTCGGGCCCTTGTCGCAAATCTGCTTCGTAGCCGAAATTCGCGAAGAATGGTGTGACCTTCGTGGTCTCCGTGACGGTGGTGTTGTAGGCGAGTTGTGCCGTTGGCAACAGCTCGACCCAATCATCCTGCTGGAAGTTGACGTACAACCGTAGGTATTGTTCAACGATCTGGTTGAGTCGTTCCGTCTGTCCGTCTGTCTGTGGGTGGTAAGCAGTTGAAAGCTTACTCTTCGTACCCAGTTTCGCCATCAGAGCTTGCCAAAACTTTGATGCGAACTTCGTGTCTCTGTCCGTGATCCACTCCTCCGGCCATCCGTGGACCGAGGTGATGTTGCGGTAGATCACATCTGCGAGTTGTTCTGCCGACCATGTTTCCTTGTAAGGGAGGAAGTAGCTCCACTTGGTGAGTCTGTCCACCATTGTGAGGATGCTGTCGTATTCCACTCCCGTTACCGAGTCCTTGGAGACTGGCAGTTTGGTGATGAAGTCCATCGTCACCGAACTCCATGGTCGTTCTGCGACTGGCAGTGGCTGCAATAGCCCGTACGGCTTGTGTCGTCCTGGTTTGCTTCGTTTGCAGAGGTCGCATTCCGCCAGGACCCCTTCTGCCGTCTGCTTGATTCCTGGGAAGTCGTAGTTCTGCTTGACTTTCGCAATTGTCTTGCCAATTCCCATGTGTCCTCCGAGTCTTGACTCGTGGATCTTTCGAATGAGCTCCTTTTGGTCACCAAGCCTGACGTAGGCCTTGTCGTGGTACCAGAGTCTCGTCCCTTCAAGTCGCAACCCTGCGATCTTGGATTCTGGCTCTTCCTGCCATGCATCGCGCTTGTCGTCCGCGATGATTCCCTGGAAGTCTCGTTCCAGTCTCTGTTCTCTGAAGGCCGCACAGCATTCTACAAACGGTTGCAGAGGCCTGGCTTCGGGATCTTCCGACTGTTGCTGAAGTGCTGCGATCTCGTAGTCTTCAGTCGGTTGGGAAGCGTGCCGTAGCGATCCGTCTGTCTGTTGATGTAGCAATGGTGGTGAGGCTTCAGACGCGTTGTCGTGGTGATCCGTTCTCCTACTCAAGGCATCCGCTCGTGCGTTTTCTGAGCCTTTCTTGTAGTGGATCGTGAAGTTGAATTCGGACAGAAATTCTGCCCACCGAGTTTGTCGTCCGTTCAGCACCTTCGTGGTGGTGAAGTATCGTAAGTTCTTGTGGTCCGTGTACACCTGAACTTCGTGTGTCGTGCCGCTGAGGTATGGTCTCCATTCCTGGAATGCTTCAATGATTGCGAGAAGCTCCTTGTCGTGGATCGGGTAATTGAGCCTTGGTCCTTCGAGTTTCTTGGAGAAGAACGCAACTGGATGAAGCTTGCCGTCCTTGTCCCTCTGTCCAAGTTGTCCTCCGATCGCGAAGTCCGAAGCATCAGCCTCGACTTCGAAAGGCGTACTTGGATCGGGCAGCATGAGCACCGGGTCGGCGATGATCGCATCGCGGATCCGCTGGAAAGCCTGCTCGTGCTCCCGCCTCCATTGGAATGTGGCATCCTTCTTGGTAAGTTCGTGCAGAGGTCTCGCGAAGTCGCCGAAATTCTTGATGAACATCCTGACGAAGTTGGCGAATCCGATGAATCCTCTGACCTCCGTGGCGTTCGTCGGTGTCGGCCACGTCTTGACAGCTTCCAGTTTCTCAGGTTCGATCTTGACCCATCCCGGGGAGATTTCGTAACCCAGAAACACTGTCTTCTTGACATGAAACTCGCTCTTGTCCTTGTTGACTGACAATTTGTGCTCGTGCAGTGCGTCCAGCACCTGCCGCACGTGTTTCTTGTGCTCTTCGAGTGTCTTGGAGTAGATGAGAATGTCATCCAAATAACAGACTGCAAATTTGTCGAGGCAATGTCGAATTGCGTGGTCGATAGCGGCTTGAAACGTCGCTGGTGCGTTGGTCAACCCGAATGGCATGACGAGGTACTCGTAGTGCCCGTAGGGTGTCCGAAAAGCCGTCTTCCATTCGTCTCCTTCTTTAATGCGGATGTGGGCGTACGCTGTTGGAAGGTCGAGTCGTGTGAAGTGTTGTGCTCCTGACAGCTGATCTCGAAGCCTCGAAATCAGTGGCAGTGGGTAGCGGTTCTTCACCGTCTCGTTGTTCAACTGTCGGTAGTCCACACACATCCTGAGCTTCCCATCCTTCTTTGGAACGAAGAGGACTGGGTAGCCCGCTGGAGATGTCGATGGTCTGATGTGTCCTATCTCGAGGTTCTTTTCGAGATAGCTCCTCAACTCTGCATCTTGCTTCTCGTTGGTGTGATATACCTTGAAAAACTTCAACTGGGCGCCTTCCTTGAGTTTGATCTCGTGATCCCAAGGTCCGTGGTCTGGTAGCCCTGCAAGATGTTTTGCCGTGAACGCCGGGTGCCCCTTGTAGTCGTCTGGGATCTGTCCCGTTTTCGCGTTCTTCGCCGTACCTTCGTAGTACGCGAACTTGCTGTTCTCGGGCTCGATGCTTGCTGCTTCGAGTCCCCGGACTTCTTCAGTTGCCAGCTCGATGCTTGCCGCTTCGAGCTGATTGACCCATTGTTCGTGTTTGAGCATTCCGTGCTCGTCGACTGAGACGACGGCGATGGTTCGTTCCTCCCGTGTCTGCTTCTTCCGTCGTGTGCCGCTTCTTCCGGATTTCAGAGTGCGTTCTTCTGCACTGGCTGCTTCCTGCGGTGGGCCCGTAGAGGGGGTTCGTTCTGACCCGCTGCTCTCCCGTGGCTCCTGTTCTGCGCGTTCTCCCATCAAGTTGGTCGGATGCTCCCGTTGTTCCCGCGGTCGCAGATGGCCATCTCCCTTCCAGCTGATGTCTGGGTCGTATTCCTCATGCCATGGGCGTCCGAGAATCATGTCTTTCTTCGGCCCCATGTTTACGATGTCGAACACCACTTGGGTGGTTTTCCCTTCCACCTCAATGTCGAGTGGTTCTGTCTCTCGTCGTACCCATTGTGTGTCGAATGGTCCCTTGACGACGTGTGGTTGTTTCTTGATCCTCCATGGGATTCTGAGTTGATTCACAAATGTGGGCGAGATGAGATCCATCTGCGCTCCTCCATCCACTAACGCGAGGGCTTCGAATTTTCCCCATCGCGCTGTGATCCAGAGCCTGTTGTCTGGTTTGGTGCTTCGTACAGCAGCTACTTCGTGTTCGTCTGCTGGGAGGTCGTTGTAAGGCTTCTGCTTGCGCCAGCTCTTCCTGTACTGCGCAGCCTGTCTCCGTTGTTGTGGAGTTAGAGGTTTCCGGGCCCCCCGAAGGGCCCTGAGCCGTTTCCCAAGCTCTCGTGGTGTTTCAAGGCGTCCCTGTCCGCACCTTGGCTTGCGGCGTCAATCGTTTGGTGTTCTTGGAGCCATTGGGCCACCCATGCCTCAGCTGGGCGCCTCTCGTTCTTTCGGGATGCTCTCGTCCTCTGGTGTGGCTTCCTCTGGGATTGCTGTTCCATGTATCCCCAGATCTTCTCGTCGGCGTGTGATAGGCAGTCTGCGCTTCGGCATTCGTCGACTCCTACGCCTGTTATACAGCGTCGGGGCCAGGCTGCCTTGGGTTTAACCCTCAGCCTGCCCTCGTGAGTGCGTTGGGTGTCCCACAACATGTTTGCGGGAGCGTCGCCGCTGTCGTATACCCATCTGATGGGTAGGGGTTGCATCCCCTTTTCCTCCCTCGTGGGCCAGAAACTGTTGCGAAATTTGTCTTGGAAGTGGTACCGACATTCGTGCGCGATGCACTGGAACCAGGGCAGGTAGATGTGACTCTCTTTTCGCGGATCCACCCGCTCGTGGTCTTCTGATAACAACTGGAATCCCTCCGTGTTGTTCTCGCCCCGGAAACCCCACCATTCAAGGTCGGCGGTTTGTTGTCCGGTGCGTACGATGTGCTGATGTCGAGTCCAGTATTCTTCCCAGCTCTGCTGTTCCCTTCCTTTCGCCGCGTGCTGTTTCTGTGCGTAGTCGAAAAGCTGCTCGGGGTATCGTACTCCGTTTTCGTATCCTTCCGCCTCTTCGGTGGGTCCATCCCACGGTGCGCGGTGCGGAAGTGCCTGGCGGATGTCGTCCTGCAAGGCCTGTGCCTCTCTTAATGTCTTTTCGACGTGATCCCCGGCCCTGTTGTTGGCCTCGGTGATCTCTTGGACCCGTTCTCTGGCGAAATCGAGTTCCGCGCAAAGTTGACCGTACTGGTCGTTTCTTTTTTGGAGAAGCTGCTCGAGTTCTTCTTTCTCTCTCGACAACTCCTCAATCCTTTGCCGCTGGCTTAGGACCCTTTGTTGCAGAAAAATGAGGTTCGGGCTGACTCCTCCTTCACCCTCGTGGGTTCGCCATTGCCCGTCCTCTTGCTGAACCAGGGTGATGCCCCAGTCCTCAGCGACTTGTCGGATGTGCCGCGGGGGAGCCAGTTCTCCCTCGTCATCCGTTTCGATGAGAGCATGGTGGGCGGTGTCGTTTCCCTCCTGGTGGTTGCTGCTCATCAAGTCTCCTTGATCCGAGTCGGTGAGTTCATCGTCCTGTTCGATGACTCGGTCAATGTCGATTTCGAGGTCGTCCTGCGTGTAGCTGGCGGCCGCGACCTCCAGAAATCGAGTTCTCCTTCCGACCGTGCCCTGGTCGATGGTGGCGGTTTCCTTCCCTGGAACCGGCCTCCACTCTTTCTTGCTGCGGCAGTCACGTTTGAAGTGACCCTTCTTCCCGCAGTTGTAACAGGTGATGCCTGATTTGTCCTTGGCACCATCTTTCTTTCCTGCCCATTGTGCCTGGGCAGCGCTGACGTCCATGGGTCCCGAGTGAGTGCCGTACGCCGTGCTCTGATGCTGGCGTTTCTTTTTGTCGTTTGCCTTCGGGTAGGACCCTTCTTTCTTGCCAGTCCGTTCCTGGCGTCTTTCGTACTGCCGGTTGTCAATGGCGATGGCTCGGGCCATATATGCGTCGAGTGTCAGGGTGTCTCGTTCTTCCTTAATGAGCTCGTCCTTGACGTCGTCCTTGAGTCCGTCATAGAAGCGCCGCTTCAGCGCGTCGCTTCCCCACTGGACTCTGAAGGCTTGTTGGCGGAACTCTGATGCGTAGACGGCGGCGGACTTGAGCTGGCGTAGTTTGTTGAGCTTGCTCTCCGCCTGGGAGCGCTTGTCGTACACCCCAAAGACCTTCGTGATGGCGTCTTCGAAGTTGGCGAAAGACTCGAAGACTTCAATGGTCTCCTTCTGGCGTTCGTCCTCGGCGTTCTCCAAGTGGTCTCGTTGGGTGGGTTCGAACCACTCGAGGGCCCTTCCTTCCAGGTACGTTGCCGCGAAAAGGACCTTGTCAGCTGCGTCGTCGAATTGGTTGAATTGGAAGTAGGACCGCAGCTGTGTCAAGAAACCCTGCAGTTCCTCCCGCTTGGTGCCGTCGAACTTGGGTGGTTTGGCGATGCGGAGGTGCCGCTTCTCTGACGGCGACGTGCCGTCCTTGAGCTTTAAGGCATCGACCTTGTTGGACAGGGCGACATAGGCAGCTTCGACCTTGTCGGAGTGGGCAAAGCCCTCGGTCTGCTCCTTGAGCTTCTGAAGTAGAGTCTTCACTCCCTCGAGCTCCTGCTTGAGTTCATTGTTGTCGATCTCGTCGTCGTCAGAGTCAGGGGCGGCGCCCGATCTTCCGGCCGGGTTGGACATGGCGTCGTGATACCTTCAATCCTGAACTGTAACAGATCAAAGGGAGTTAGCAACGTGTGACGAACCTGTCTCTGGACCCGTCCTGTTAGGGTTCAGTATCGGTCGAAGGTATTCTCTCAAGGGTGCTTAGGTTCGGTGCAGCCAAAGGGTGCACAACAAAGACTTGTCTCAACAGTAGGCTCTCGAGCTTGTAGCGAACTGTAGTTGTGATTGCTAACTGGAGAACTCCCAGAGCTCTCCAGAACGAGTGACTATATACTATCTAAGTCCCAGGTATCTCTGTACCTGTCCTGTGTGTGTGGTAGCTCATGGTCGCCCGTCTACCCAAGTCTACCCGTGGTAGCTCGTGGTAGACTGCGATCCAAGGCTACCGCCTGTCCCGGGTAGCCAGCGTCCCTGGGCTACCCAACGGGCCCCCGCGTCTTGGCTTCCCAGCCGATTGGGTGAGGGCAGTCCTGCTGCGCCCCACGCGGTCCCGTTATATGGTTGGTTCGTGACAGAAGCTTAAGGAATATAATAAGGAATCCGATACCTATACCGATACCGATACCAATTTAGATCGCTATATCTAACCGTACCTAAAGGAATGTTGGGTATGTAGCGGAGTGGACGATAGGATAGATGTGGTATATAAGGTTCTCTACTAGGAAGATATTGATTTCTAGATCCTGTATGACCCGATGGGCGACGGTGGCCGAGACTGTCTTGCGATGTAGATCCTCTTACGCTTTTATAAGGGCTATAACAAGGAAATGGTACCTACCTAGTTCCCCTTTATCGAGGAGAAGCTTCCCCTTCTCTGCCCGCTCTCTAAGCTCCTTGCTAAAGCGGTGGTAGAGGAGGTTATCGATAAGCCTGGTTATGCTTCCTGCGCTAAACCTTACTTCAATATAAAGCTCGGTATAGCTGCTATATATATACTATAGAAGAAGGAGTTCTGGTATCGGCCGGTATTCTGTAAGACTGTTGAATCCGAAGAAGGGCCGAAGAAGTTAGACCGCCTGTAGACGACCTACATGTTTAACAATAACTCGGCAAAGCTTGGGAAGGTAGCGGGGCTCCCCGATCGCCTCTAGTTATATGTTTATCGGTGGGGTAACTTGGAAATCCTCGATAGTAAGTCTCTCCCTCTAAGATCCGATAGTCTCCTAACCTAGGATAGAAAACTACCGTTAGTCGATTCGGGACCAGGGGGCGCGCTACCGACCCAATAGCACCGTATATCAGCGGTACTACGCTAATACTATAAGAAATGCCATTCCCTAGGATACTGGCCTGGGCTGTAGTACTAAATCTCCCTACCTAGATATCCTCAATTATATCGGCCTCCAATACAATGAAAACACGCTAATAGGTATATCCGACGAAGTAATGTACGCTATCGGCCTAAGTAGTAAGATCCGCTATCTGGAAGGGGAATGGTTAACCCTGGAAGCTGCGCTCTAGGCTAGGTATAGGAAGGCTATAAAAGTAACCGGTAAGGATAAAAAGTTACGCGATCGGAAGTTAAATAAACTACGAGCGGTAAAGCAGTAGCAGTGTAGAAAGGTGGAGGTTCTCCTTTGTAAGGACTACTTCAAGAAAAGGAATACTGAAGAGCTCGATAGATAGTTATATGGTCTCTACAGACTGTAGCAGCCGCTGTAGAAGGTTATCTTCAGCCTAATAGAACGAAGGGCTCTTGCCGATATCTTCGGTAACTTGGACGAGGACCTTCCGGAGGATGAGATCGTATGTAGGAAGGTGGATGCAATTAATGCCTAGATTAAATATACCTGGAAGATCGAGCTGAAGGAGCCTGTCCCTATATAGAGCTAAATCCGGGTGTGAATGCTGCTGGTAGCGGTTGTAAAGTAGAGAGAAGTACTATAGATCGTGCTCGAGCTCCTAGGGCGGACTCTTATACTAAAGCTATAGTATATATCAATGATATAGGAGCTAGTAAGCCTTGTACTGCCGATGCCTCTAAGGATACTACTGTGCTAGGACCCCCTACTGCTATATAGCGAAGTTGATAGAGCCCGAGCCCCTAATACAGTTATCCTAGGCCGGAATGGGATGGGCCCTCCTTCAGCTGTGTAATAGCCAATACTAAGGTGCTATTACGAGTATATCTTCTGTACAAGATGCTTTATATAGAAAGCGAAAATGTAGGACTACGTAGACCGGCATCTTATGCGATGTTCTACCGAGGCTGTCCCTTACCTGTACCCTAACTACAAATGTAAAGGGGTTGTGCTGGAAGATGTGACGAGAAGCAGATATTCCATGGGGTCAGGCCACCAGTCAATACAACTATAATATCGAAACTGAGACAAAGAGAAAAAGAGAGGTGGTGGGATCGCTAGCGATCGTTTCGTGGGGAAGTAGGGCGAGGCGCTATGCGCGCTAACCCCGATTGAGCCACAGTGCCATCACAGGCAACCACCTCTCGTGACAACCTGTCACGGCGTGCACAAATGAACTTAGGACGAGCCTGAAGGTTGTACCCAATAACGAAAATACAACTAAAAGTAAAGAACTAAACTAAGTGCGGTTCCAGGGGAGAAACAGCGGCCTTTTATAGACGAGGGGACGGTCGGTTCCGGTCGGTCGCTGTTGCTGTTGCTTTCACAGGTTCCTGGATAGTTCCCAGATACAGAGCCCCTGTATCTAATCAACAAGGGACCTGTCTTGGTATTCAGTGAATGAAAGTGGATGCTTCAGAACCAAGCGTGCTGATTGGCGGATGTGTCGAGAGTGGATGCGCCAAAGGTGGATCCCCCGGTGCCGAGGGTGGGGCAGTGTATAAGTGGCTCATTACGTAACCAACCTTGTTGTGACTGCGCCGGGCCGTCACACTACCCCCCCCCAAAGAAAAGAGAGTCGTGTCCTCATGACTTGTACCTTCTTCGTGATCGTGTCGGTCCTTCCTTTGCCTGTGACTCCGGAAAGTCGTCTTCCGGGTGGTCTTCTTCATCTAGTTTCCTCGAGGTGTGCCTTTTCCCATTGTGTTAGTCGTTTGGGAGGGCCTGCTGCCTCTGGGAACTCCTCGTGGAACTTCCGAACCACCGCTGGGGCGTTCTTAAGTTTCTTGCTGGGTACCAGACCGGGTCGTCGTCAAA